ACCCCAGGAAAGCACCAGCCTGTCCTGCATGTAGCATCCACGAATCTCACCTAATCCTCTTTATTGTGGTTAAAGGAGGTGACCAGAGGCGGGAAGGCACAGTCAGACTTTCCTTGGGAGCTGGTATTTGATTCTCCTGTGTACTGGGCCCTGTCCTCATGGCCACATGGGTGCCACCCATAAGGCCTCTGGCATGCTACACCACAGCCTTGTCAGTCTCATTCTGCCACGAGGAAGCAGAGGGCGGGTGTCTGTTTCCTACACTGCTGTAACAGCGATCATCAACCCAGTGGCTTAAAACAACACCAACTTGGAATCTTATAAGCTGTACAAGTCTGAAGACTGAAAAGGGCTTTGCTGGGCTAGAATCAAGGTGCCTTCGGGGCTGTGTTCTTCCTGCGGCTCTCGGGGACCTGCTTACTTGCCTTTCCCAGCATCCAGAGTCCCCCCCACCCCACCCTCCAGTCCTTGACTGTGGCTTCATCTTCAAAGCCAGCAGCATCCCAAAGGCAGCAGCCTTGCCAGGGTCCTTCTCCTGACTGTCCAGCCTCCCTCCTCCATACTTCGGGACCCTTGTGATTCCATGAGGCCACCTAGATAATCCGGGATAATCTCTCCAGCTGAAGGTCAGACAGTTGGAGCCTTAGTTCCATCTGCGACCTCTGTCTCCTGTTGCTATGCAAGGGAACACGGTCACGGGCTGCAGGAATCGGGATGGGGACATTTTGGGGAGGCCATCGCTCTCCCTCACATAGGCAGTGACGCTTAAAGGTCTTCCCCAGTGTCACAGCCTCAGAGCGGTATGTCTGGAAGGAATCCTAGAGCTTGCATCTGGAAGGATTCGATTTAACGGGGCAAAAATTAACAGCTTAAATAAAACAAACAGTTTATTCTCTCTCAAGTAAGTGGATCTGGAGGCAAGAGGGATGCGGTGTGATCAAAAAATACAGTGAATGTTTAATTTTTTTTTTTTTTTTAAATTTTCTTTCTGTAAAAGACACATTGCCATTAGTCACCCTCAAAATCCTCCTCCTTGCTTCAAACACACTTATCCTATCTTTCTTGCCACTTTCTGAAGCAGCCCTGCGAGTCTTCTTTCCTGAGGGCCTGTAGTTGTGTTGTCACAGCTACCTCGATGTCCTGAATGGACTCAAAATGTTTCCCTTTCATGGTCATTTTGACTTTGGGGAAGTGCCAGAAGCTGCTGGGTGCAGTGAATAAGGTGGATGAGGACACTGCAAGGTTGCTACGAGCCTGCCTTTCCGTGGGATGGCACTCGGCAGCAGCATTCACTGCTTTTTGATCAGAGCTAGTAAAGACACGATACAGAGCTTCTGTAACTGCTTCGGGAAATATAGAAAATGGTGGGATAAGTGTATTCAAAGCGAGAGGGAGTACTTTGAGGGGAATTACTGACAGTAATAATTTTTTTAAATTTAAACATTTACCATATATTTTACTCACACCTCATACAAGGCTAGTGTAGAGGCCCCATAAACTGCTTAGCAATGCAGGCTCCTACCAGTTTCCTGCTCCAACACCCTCACAGTGTGGCCTTCAACCACACAGTCCTGCCTAGCTGCCAGTGCTCCAGCCACCACCTGCACATTTCATATGTCAATGTGGGAGATGGCACAAAAAGACAAGGACAAAGGGCACTGGTCACCTGGTTCCTAAGGAAGTTTTCCTGGAAGCTATCACACAACATTTTTGCTGTAGTCTCATAGGCCAGAAGTTATAACCTTTATTCCAGGTGGCCATAAGCTTCTGTGGCCATAGGAGAAGAAAATAGGGAAGGTTCCACAAAGTTTAGCTAGCCAGACCCTTACTTTATCATCGAAGACAAGGTCATTGAATCCGAGGGCCCGTCTACCTGAGAGGGCTTCAGGGTTTGGCCAGAGAGGCCTCACACTGTACTGAGCAATGCAGGTTTGTCCTCTGCCAGGCTTGCTCTGTGATGGGGGACGTCTCACAGCGAGGAGGTTTTCTCTCAGGAGTGCAGTGTGGCAGGAACTGTTTCTATTGTGTGTCTGCAAATTTCATTTGAATGTGGTACCAGGGTGGGTGGACCTGATAAAAGCCAGAAGTGGAGCTGGGGTGGAGCTCAGTGGCAGAGACGAGACTTTCCTGGCATCTGTGTGAGGCCCTGGGCCCCATCCCTAGCTCTGCATCTCATAGAGCCAGGAGAGTGCCACCCTCGGGCACTGCTGCCTCACCCTCCAGACATGCGCAGATCCATGCACTGTCTGGTACTTCTGTTTCTAAGTCCTTGTGGTTTCAACCGGATGGTAAGGCCCTTGAGTCAGGGACAGTATCTGAATTGTCTGTGCCCACTCCCTGGACAGTGCCTGGTGCCCAGCGGGCAGTGGGTACTAAGTGGGGAACTGAAGACTTGGAGTGAACTCACTAAGGAGGTGTCTGACACATAGAAGGCTCTTAGCAAAAATTCTTAGTGAGGGAAAGAAACAAGGGAGAAAGGATGGAAGGATGGATGGAGGGACAAACTGACTTGGCCCTGGCTTCCCATGGCTAGGGGAAGGAGGCCACAGGAGAACAGAAGAGCCACCTGGCCCTGGCCATCGCTACAAAGGGTCTCCCCTCCTGCTTTCAACCACTGTGCCTTTGGGCATCCCAGTGGGTTTTAGCAGTCCTGGTACCTGGCACCAGGTTTACAAGGCAGAGGCATCACAGGGCAGGTGGCTGTGTGAGGGACAGAGTTTTGCAAAGGCCAGGGACCCCAGCCCCTGCCCCATGTCTCTGTCAAGGGCTTCTTTCGGCACCAGAAGACAGGAGCCAGAGGGGAGGTGAACGCTGGCAGAGGCTGACACTAAGTGTGACAAAGTGGCATGGCTGAGGGGAAAGAGCCCCACAGCACAGCAGAGCCCACCTGGGGAGAAGACAGCCGCCTGGGCATGTGTTCTGTACTCTCTCGGAGCAGATGGGATGGGACACCGGCGCCCAAAGGGTCCGACACAGCTGGTCAGAGACAGCAGAAGTGGCGGTATAACTGGGGGAGGGACCTGCCTCCCCCCAGGCAGAGAGAGCCACCCTGCTCCCCCAGACCCGAGGCTGGGGAGAGACTCTGGGACACAGAGCGCAGCAGGCAGAGGCCTGGCCAGGCAGGAAACAGGTGTGGCCTGATCCTGTGGCTGGGACCCAGGCTAAAATCACAGGCCGGAGCTCAGACAGCAAGACCACACACCACCGCAGCCTGGGACCAATAGATTTTCCCTAGAACCCAACCACTTCCTGCCCTAGTTTCTTCCCAGATTGATTGGGCAGCGTGATCCAGCAGAAAGAGCCCGGCTTGGGCATCAGGCTGGCTTGGGTTTAGATCATGACGGGCTCTGTGGCCTCAGGATCAATGCTTATCAAGTGGTGTGTTAGAAAAGGTAAAGCAAGAAGGACTTGGGTGTGAAGCGGAAGTTCAAAGGGAGGCTATGTTTTAAAGCAGGATTGCCTGCCTGTCAATCCACTGGGAACCCTGTGCATTATTTTTGCCAATAACACATTCTGTTCTTAATCAAGCTAGCATCTTTCAACAGATCCTCTGTTTTAGCCTCACCCTGAGCAAAGTTATCCAAGGAATCACAGAGTTGATGCACTAGTTCTGTGTTCTAAATACTCAGCTTACGTCTGTTTAAGTGTTCATCCCTATACACCTAAATTCAACTCTGACACCGACGTGGCTCACGGTTCACTGGCAAGGCACAGTTCTGATTTGAAAGAGAAGTGGAGACCAGTGGGCCCCCATCCCCCTCCTCGTCAGCTTTTTGCTTTAAGTGACAAAAAGTGTAGCAGGACAAAAAGGGAAAGGTCAGAGGCCAACCTGTGGAAATTGCTTGGACTGCAAGGCACAGGGAGAACTCGGCCTACTGTCTCAGTGGGACCTGTTCTTCCATCCAGAACGGACAGTGGTGCAGGTGACCGGCAGGTGACAGGCAGGGACACACAGCGACCCCTCTCTTGTGGGCACACTGGTGTGTGCTGGTCTTTCCCCTTGGTTCCCTGCAGGGTCAACAGCAGATGCCCCCTCTCCAAGACCCATCAGAGCCAAAGGAATTAGCTCTGTTCTCTCCATCAGCTCATAGGAAAGGGGTTCCACTCCCTACTCTAGAGTTTTTCAAACATACAAAGATTTACCCCTGCTATATAAAGGTACAATCACCCTTTGGCATCATTGGGAGAATTCGTTTCAGGACCCCCGTAAATACCAAAATCTACAGATATTCAAGGCTTGTATATAAAATAGTATATTTGCTGTAATTAAGCCCACCCTGTCATATACTTTAAATAGTCCCTGAGTGATTTATAATACTGTAGACAGTGTAAATGTTATATGGATAATTTTCATACTGTATTGTTTAGAGAATAATTATTTAAAAAGGAATCTGTACTTGCTTGGTATAGACACATTTTTTTTTTTTGGTACCGGGGATCGAACTCGGGTCCTTGCTCTTGCACAGCAGGTGGCGAAACCACTGAGCTAAATCCCAGCCCTATAGACACAAATTTTAAAAAAATATTTTTGACCCATGGTTGGTTAAACCTGAAGGAAGCTTCCAGATTGCTCAGTAATGACTGTGCCTGAGTGGGAGGGGAGAGGCAGCTTTGTCAAAGCAGTGATGACCTAATGTGTGTGACCTAATGACAGAAAGGATTAGGGAAAAACAGGAAGAGTTTGGAACAATGTGTCATGCAAGCCTAAGAGAGGTGGTCTTGGGTGACAGGAGCTCCGATGCCGGGTTCTTCAGAGAGAGCACATGTTACTCCCTGCCTAACCTCCATCTGAGATCCTTCGCTTGGACTGTGGGCTTCCCCTCGCCCACCATCTAGAAAGTAGGCCTTGAACTTGGAGGGCTGAATGTCACCCCCAGAGTGTTTATTCTGTAGATCCAGCACTGTCTTGTTAGACCCCAGCCTGCTGAGAAGAGATAAAGTTATTTCTTATACAGTTGAACAAATCAACACATTATTAAGGATATAAACTAATTTCTGGTTATTAATGTGGGACCTGGAGATAAATCACAGAGTTGCTCATCTACGCAGCAGGGAAAGACCAGGCAGGGGAGACAGGAGGCCTCCAGAAGAGTGGAGAGCAGAGTGCTTTCCCCATGTAGGACCTGGGCTGCTCCGAGCTCATGGCTCCAAGACCCCCTTTGGGATGGCAGGCGTGGGGGAAGCGAGCATTCTCCCAAGGAGGCTGATGGGATTTTAATAGCCAGACAGATGGCCTGAGGAAAAAAAACAGAAAGATTTTTTTTTTTAAATGAGGGAAAACACTTCCATAGCTTTTTTTCAATTAAAACAAAGTGAGAGTCATCTGTGCTGGGAAGATTTATCACCATTATTAGTATTGTCAGTTTGGATGTCTTCTTTTTAATAACTGCCTGATTGGGCATCGATAATAAACTAGGGCAGGAGTAACAAACAAATTAGAGGATGGAGCTGTCCTCTGACTTTTGATGCAATTATTATTACTTTGGCTTAATTTGATTTTACAATTTAATAACAATCCTGAATAATTGGGCTCCATTTGTTCTTATTTTATACAATCAAACACTTACCACTTATCAGATCCTTTAATGTCGATCCTCCCAAGATCTTCAGGCTGCAGACAACCCACCCTTGAGCAGCCAGCATTTCTGAAAATCTTTATTAAGAAACCTGGAAGGAAGAGGCCAATATAAAGAAAAGGCAATCTTTGGAAAGAAAAGATGGGGGTTTAAAGCCCATTTATTAAGGCTTCTGTGTGCCAAACAGTTTTATTTTATCTTTGTGACAACTGTGCAAACCCTGTTTTAGGATCCCCATTTTACAGATGAGGCACTGAGAGTTAAAGTAACTTGTCCAGAGTCACACACCTAGTAATGCAGGGCTGGATTGGGCTTTCTCTGTTCCAGCATGGGCTCCTGCATCTTCTCCTCTGAGTATCAGCCAAGGTGGAGGGACCATCCTCATTGACTTCATGGGAATTCTGCCTCCTTTCCTATGTTATTGTTCCCCAAATCCATTATCAGATTTTCTCTACAATGGCTGAGCATTGTAGGGAAACCCCAATGGTAGAGGGAGAGTTGGCTCCAAGAGGTGGCAGCCTCTGCATCCTTATCTGAACCAGGAAAGGACCCTGCAGAGGGGGGGGAGTGGTCATTTACAGGGAGCACTCGCATGCCATGCACACGCCTATCATGCCCTGGACGCGCTGGGACCTACGGTAGAGACCTTATTTCGAACAATTTCCACTCAACCTCTGTGGCAGAAATTCCCATTGCACAGATGAGAGAAATGAGGTCAAAAGAAGTTAGATCATTTTTTTCAGGTTAGTTGTTGTTGGAGGTGGGATTTCAAACATGAATGGCCATTTTATGAGGGCTGATCCAAACTATGCAGTGAATGTTTAAATTTTTTTAATTATTACAGTAAAAAACACATTGCCATTAATCTTCCTCAAAAACCCCCACCCCTTCCTTCAAACATACCCATCCCATTATTCTTGCCACTTTCTGAAGCTGCTCTGGAAGTCCTCTTTTGTGTCTTTTTGACATATGATTAAATGTATGGCTAATACTGTGGCCAAATGGCATCCAACAAAAAGGCAGGCTTGTACAAACAAACAGTGCTTCCTCTTCCACTTGCTCACTAGATCTGGCATGGTGAGACTTCTGGTTTTTCTCCAAAGTCAAAATGACCATGATAGGTAAATGTTTTGAATGGATTCAGGACACCAAGGCAGCTGCAACCACACATCTAAAGACACAAGCACAACTACATGCTTCAGAAAGAGGCAGGAATGACGAGATAAGTGTGTTTGAGGAGTATTTCAAGAAGGATTGATGACAGTGTGTCTTTTACTGTGATGAACTCTTCAAATTTACATGTGCACCATATTTTTCGATCACACCTCATACTTCAGCATCAGTGTCATAATTCTGATAAAAGATCAAAGGAAGGAGTGGGAGAGATTAGAGATGAGACTTGAAAACAGATTTAGAATAAAGATGACTGCCCAGGGCCCTGGGCTCAATCCCTTTCCTGGGCAAAAGCTGACACTCAACTTTAATTCAGTGTTTACCGAGTGTCCACAGGGACAGGTCAGGATGTGACCCCAAACGCAGAACCTCCTGTCCTCTTCCTTCAGCTCTGAGTGGAGAACTTTGCTTCTCAGTCTAGTGGCCCTGCTCCGCACAGTTTCCAAATAGGCGAGGCTATCTGCTCCTGGCCTTTGGGAGCCTTCTCTGCATCCCCAGGGGCCTTGGGAGCTAACTCTGAGGCCCTAAGCATCAACCCAATCAAAAGGGAAGGAGGAAGAGTGAAGAGCAGATTGAAAAGGGAAAAATCACAGAAAGACAAGGAAAAACTGAGAGAAAGTAATAGCTAGCTAGGTCTGCAGTGGCTGCTGCTATGACTCATAAAGCAAACAGATACGATTCTTATACAATAAAAATAGGGAATAAATTTTGTATTCTTATGCTTTTTAAAGGATAAATTCATACAGAAGTTGACAGGAAAAGAATTTGAGAGGCAAAGGTCAGGACCAGAGTTGCTCAGATGTGGCAGTGGTGGTGGCAGCAGTGAGCTGGGACAGATGGTGGGGACAGAGGTGGGGGAGATGGAGCGTGACACAGGGTGGCTTTGGAAATGGGGTGGTGGGAAGGAAGGTGGTGATGGTTCCCGCGACAGCAAGAACCGTCATCACAATAGCTAACATCTAACATCCGGAGCAGTTCTTCGACATGTCCAAAACTTTTTTTTTTTGGTACCAGGGATCAAACTCGGGTCCTTGCGCTTGCGGGGGCAGGCGGCGGAACCACTGAGCTAAATTGCCGGCCCTCCATAAAAACCCCAACTCTTTCTAATCCTAATCCTAGTTCCACCCTGTGTGTCACCCCAGTTCATCCGAGGTCAGAGAAAAGGGAGGACTACAAGGAGGGCTCTTTTTCTTTCTCACACAGGGACAGGTCTAGAGGGAGAAATGGACAGAACCACATCAGCAAAGTCCCCTCAAGTCTTCCCTCAACTGATAGCCCCCGCCCCAAGGTTATTTGCCCAAAGTAACCCTCCAAATTGATAGTTCGTAATGTCTTTGTCACCTGATAATTGTTTGGTAGCTTTTATAAAATGCATAAATGATTATAGCATGGTTCCTAATGGATACATAAAAATCATTTGTGATCATTGAAACATATTTACGTTTTAATTAGGCAGCAGCCGAGAATGAAGAGTCCAAGGAGAGCCATCTCCTCTGACCTCCTAAGGAGTCCCACTGACACCACACAGGCGTCCAGTGGAGGGGACAGGGACACGGTCCACACGTCACATAAAGGACCTTAGCCCCTCACAGTCAGCTGCCGCACTTCTCCCAAACTAATCACAGATCTTTTTTTTTTAAAAAGAAAATCTAAATTGTTGACAGATAGACTTCCAACAAAATGATTTCTTTAAAAATAACCTAAAAACAGAAGCTCTGATGAAGGCCTGGGCAGCTGGGCCATGTCCCCTGGCCATGCCAGGTGCCGTGGTAATTGCCACACTGGGTAGGGCTGAGAACTCTAACTGGGAACGTGGCGTGTCAGAGGGCTCCCCGTTTGGCACTGACCCACACTGCGAGTCCTTGGGAAGAGCGTGTGAGACAGATGGATGATCCAAGTAGGCTTGAGAAAGGGGAGAACCAGGTCAAATCCTGGGGACCATGTACCTCGGGAGAGAAGAGGGTCCCTCACAAAAGGAGCTGTGTCCCCAGCGTTTGGGGAGAAGGGGGTGATGGAGGGGCTGCAGACAGAGAGGAGCCGTGTGGCTCCCTGTGCGGTGGGGAACAAGGAGGAGCAGGTGTGAAGGCAGCCGGGGCAGAACGAGGTCAGGACTGGGTTTGAGAGCTGTGGGGGAACGTGATGGCACGTGCGGGGGGAAGGAGGGAGGCGAATTGGGCCATGTCTTTGTGGAAATGATGAGCGAATTGGGTCAGAACCGTGGGGGAGAAGGCTGGAGAATTGGGTCGAGCGTTTGGATAGGAGGGGGAAGTGGGTCAAATGTGAATGTGTGTGGAAGGAGGGTAGGAGAAGGCGGGACTGAGTGTGGGCTGGTTCCCTCGGGTCCAAGGGGAAGGGCAAGGGGGAAGCAGCTTGCGCCCACACAGGGGCTCAAGATGGAGCCCCGAGGTTCTGATCCTTTCCTCCTACTTCCCTTGGCTTGCTGGCTCCCCTCGGGGCATGGTAGATTCAAAGTAGACTTTCCCACTCCAATCCCACATTGTGTGACATAAATCTCAGCCAACACGGGGTATAATTCATTCTGCAACATTTTGTAAGGCAACCCAAACTGGCATTTGGGAAGTAACAATTCCATCACTTCATCTGGCCTCATCTCACCTGGGACACCAGGCCTGGGAGCAGTCGTCCTCTCCTAGATTTCGGCACATCAACCCCTTCAGTACCAAGTGTCTCTTCTCTCCCACCAGGGCTGCCTTCTCATGACTTGGAACCTCAACATACATTCTGTAAATAAAAGCTGAGTAATAAGTTCATTTTCGCAGCTTCCCAACTGGCTTTGTTCACATCCATGCAATCACGGAGCAGTCTAACCACAACAATACTCAACATTATACTTAAAAGGAATGTACTTTTATTAACCAGCTGAGTGCCTATTGGCTGCTTGGCTGAATAGAACTATTCTCAAAGCAAAACCAGAGTGTGCAAATCACAACTCTGTCTACTGTGAAGCTCCACAGAGAAATTTGTTAAATCCATAGAACTATATTATGCCTGAACAGCACTCCAGGATCACATACACCACTGTACATTTCTCTGGTGGTTTCAGCTTTGTTTCTGCCCATGTGGGTGAAACATAGTTTCTTTGGACATGTGTATTCCTGACCTGCTATCTCCTCTGGGGACCTTGATATGGAGCTATAATGAATCTGACCAGCTAAGGCCACATCGATTAAATCTGTATTTGGGTTTCTTCTGAGAATTCCTTGCTATTGACATGAATCACAGTGATTAATACAATCAACTTGGAACAGCCTTCTGTGGTATCTGGACCACTCTGATCCATGCAGACAGAAATGAATACCGTATGGTAATAGGAAACCCATGTTGTTTCCTGTGGACCAAAGAATACCTCAGCTTCCAGGAGGGGAGAGACCAAAACACAAATGCATCTTATTCTTTAGGTGATACTTGGTAGGATCGTAGAATTACAAGGATACATGCTTGACAAATATACTTTTAGGCCAAATAATTGGCTCTGGATTTTCTTAATGCTTGGAATCTCAGACTGTGGACGAGTCTTGCAGATTCCGAAAGCCTTCTCCGGGAAAGGCAGAGGAAGGGGAGGGAGCACTGAAAGGGAGTCAATCCCTCAGCAATTCAAATCAAACCTTCATTTTCTTCAGCAGAGTTATTTTGAGTCATTCATTATTATTTTTCCTCTGAAGCGGAGGCTGTTAGATACTGGAAGATTGTTAGAACCAAAGGAAGTAAAGAGGACACTGAAGCATTATTCTTGTTGCAATTTCATATGAATTTGGGGCTGGAAAAGAGTTTCAAAACACACATGCTTCATATTGCAGCAGCAGCAGCTGCAGAGAGAGAGAGAGAGAGAGAGAGAGAGAGAGAGAAAGAGAGAGACAGCTCCATCAGGCAGCTCAGAGAAATTAGGTCCCTGCCATGTTTCCAGGGCATTCACTGAGGTTGGTCCCCCAGACATCCCCGCCACAGGGCAGAGGAAACAGCAGCCAGAAAAACTGGGCTACAGGCTTCCTGCATCTTCCGCCTCCAAGCTGAGTGCTGTGACCTTGGTCAAGGCTCTTAACCTCTCCGAGCCTCCATTTCCTCTTCTGTAAATGTAGGAGGAACAGATAACACGTGTTTGAGCAGCCAGCCACAGCCGGCCAAACCCCATCCTGTGGGTCATCCTGGGCAAGCCCATAGCGGCCCAGGTGGAAGGCAGTTAGTGGCCCGAGCTTCACAAGGTGGTCCTAGCAATTGAATGAATTAAAATAGGAGTCAGCTGGTGACATTAGCTTCTCTGAGCCTCATGTTTCTCATTTGCAAAGTAAGTGCTGTTGCCCTTGAAATGAGATCCTGAATGCAGACATTACCTGCTACATAAGAGGAATCCCAGAGCGGGTAGCAATCTACATGTGTTATAGGTGGCAAATACCACTCTCCTACAGGGAGCATGGTCCCAACCAGAGAAGGCTCCTGCCTCCATTACCACCGGGGTAATTATAGTAATAATTAGGGAGAGGTCGAGGTGTGCAGTCACAGCTACGGGAAGGGCAAGGTCCTGTGCCTGTGCAAACTCACATCAGGAGAGCAAATATCTTGGAGCTGGCTTTGCCAGGAGAGAGCATGGGGAGCCCACTCTATGAGGGTTGGGTGGAACCCCACAGGGAGCTTTGGTGGCAGCCAGGCCTGGTGTGGGAGGTAAGCACCACCACTCCCCAGCCCTGGCGAAGCAAATCTGCACCTCTCTGTGCCTCCTACCTACGATGGCACCCACGCCAACATCGCAGGTGAGCATAAGGGTGCGCTACAGCAGCGCAGGTAGAGTTCTCACTGTCAGGCTGTAAGAACAGGCTATTGAGCTGGGCACACTGGTATCTGAGCACTCTGGGAGGCTGAAGCAGGAGGACTGCAAGTTCAAACCCAGCCTGGACAACTAAGAGAGACCCTGTCACTATCACCCGGCTGTGTTGACAGGCACTGCTGCTAGTGGTAGTAAAAGAAAAGTAAAGTCAGCCTTTCTTTTCTCCTCCTTGCTTTCTCAAATATCTCCCTGTGGAAAGTGAAAGAGAGGCACATCGTGCTTGGATAACAAGGCAACAGGTTGAAGGCAGGAGAGAGGTGCTGAGGGGGCCGCTGCATGGCAGGCTGTGCCTTCACCTGGCAGGGTGACTTTGGAACTTCAACAGCCCAGCAGGGCCCATGCTGTCTGATGTGACATAATTCCAAGAACCGTCATCTAGACAATGAAACGCACCATCTTGGAAGTACTCCCAGTTCTTTGAAAAAAGTCAACATATAAAGGAGGATGATATGTATCATATGATGGAATTTTCTCCCACTTGGCTTTAGAAACTGATCAGAGACTCCCTGTTGGGTCAGGGAAGAAGGAAAAAGACTTTTTTGATTGGTAACCCATCTCATAAATCACCTATTTTTCTCTCTAGTCCTATGCGTACTAGAAGCCAGATTTCACTGTGCAGTTACTGTATGCCTGGCACTGTAAATAACTTATTTGTCCTCTCTCATTTTAACCCTTGCTACAACCCTTTGAGACAGGTACTATAACCAAACATTTTTTACAGATGAAGAAACTGAGGTTCAGGGAATTTAAGTCACTTGGTCACAGCTCCACAGCCAGTTAGCAGAGATCTGGTTCAGTGTCTATTTGGAGTCCCTACCTCCCTCTTCCTGCGGTGCAACAGAACAGCTGAGAATGTAGTCCTGGGACTCAAACTGCTCTGTTCAAACCAGCTCTTTCAGTGGGCCTCAGTTTCCTCACCTGTAAAACAGAGTTTAAAGAAATCCCTATCACAGGCATAGTTTGAGAATTAAAGGAGAATAAAATGAGTTTGTCCCCAGCCTTCGCTGAGGCTGGAAAATGGCCACCCTGTGGTCACCTCTCCCCTAACCAGAGGCAACAGAGCAAGACAACAGCCCAGGCCTGAGCTTATCGCATGGCACTATCGGCCCGCAGGGCCAGCCACAGGGAGGTGCCCAGGCAGACAATCACCAGGTCACGAGAGAGGGACAGCCATGCCCATGCCCGCCATGAGCACATACAACAGCCTGTGACCAGATCCCCCTCTGTGTCACTCAAGGGCAACTTCCTGCTCCTGACTCACTGCCATGCTCCCGCCTGCCTGGGTGTTTTCTCTTCAAGAAGTGAAAGGACATTGGTTCACAAACTGTAAAGCACTCTTTTAAAGGCAGGATTTCGTACCCAGGCTGGAACCTCTGCATAGAAGAGCTGGGGTCACCTCTCTCTGCACGGCTGACAGTGGCTGGCCCTCACTTGCTCTCTCTTTACTCACACAAGCCCCCATCCTTGGCTTCTCTGCCCGCCTGCCTCCCACCTGCCCACAGTGGCCTTGGTGACACCATCCACTGGAACGGCCCTTCAAGGAGACACGGCTTCCACCACATTTAAGAATTCATAAAAGAGATCAATGAGTGTGTTCTGCGAGCTGCTTGTTTCAGGCCAGGCTTCTGCCCACATAAAGGTTTTAACAATTGTTCTGACATTATTAGAGTTCAGAGAGTTCGATTTCCAGTCTTTTCCATCTTCTCCTAATCCTTGCTGCCTGTTCACGTGGATGGATTGACTCCCTTCCTTTCATGGAACCCCGTCTTCCCTGGTTTTCTCTGTCTGCTTGGGGATTCATTAGTCCACTCTGGAATGTATCGCTGAAGGTCCCCTCAGGTGGCCAGCCCCATGCTCCGGAGTAAAAGCAGCCAGCACGCTAGACACTGTCCACAGCCCACAGGGCTTTCAATCGTCAAGTTTGCTCTTAACCTTTAACCTGCACAGGTCAGTCAAGTGCGGTGACAGCGCAGACTGGGGTCCAGAGGGTGTGGGCTGGGGAACACACACTTAGAAGGGGGCTCCATAAAATGTGATGATGGTGGTGTCGTGGGAGCCTGGAGGAGGAGAGCTGACTGCGTGAACCGAGAACTGGGGAGAACAAATCGCTCCCAGGTTCAAGGTCATCCCAATGCACAGGGGAGAACCTGACATCCCAAGACCTGGCTCCTTAGAGTCGATGCTCTCTGCAAAGCCTCCCCAAAGCCACCCTGGCAGAGGAAACCTCACTGCCTGCTTCCCTCCCACCCTGTTCGCACGTGGCCCACCTGAAGACTCTCCATCATGCATGACTATGTGTTCACCTGATCTCTCATGCCCTGGCCCAAAGGAAAGGTTTCCCCATCTGGGACTATGCCGTTTCTTCCATCACTCCTTCTTACTGCCCCTTTTTATTGCTTTTAGTTGAGGTCACCATTATTCCCCATCCGAATTCCCCAACCCTAACCTCTCAGCCCCAGGAAGATACCCCTTCTCTCTTCTTCTCAGAAGTGCTGGCTGCTCTGCCCGCTAGCAGAGGGCCTGGGAGAAACTGGAGGTGCCTTTGATAGCAGGGAGCCAAGTCCCCAGTGGGTCTGCAAAGGTGACAGAAGCTCCATTCAGACACGGAGAAAGTAGGGGCTCCATCCAGATGCTCAGAGCCAGCAGGTGTGGGCCAGGCTTGTCCCCTAGAACTCAGGTGCCTCCTGGAGCCCCGGGAAACATAGCCCTCATTCTTGGGTCAACAGGAAGGTTGAAATGCACAGAGGTTCAGCGAACCCCAAATGTTGATTGCTGAGGGGTCAGAGCTTTCAGGGGAAGGTGATCTTAACATACCAACTTGTGTGAGAAGCTGGAGGAGTGGCAGTCGGGAGCCTCTCTGTTGTGCGGTGGAACATTTCAGCCCATAATCACCCGTCAGTCACAACCCCCATCAAGCAAATGCCAATTGGAAGCAGTAGGCCTCATGGAAGGGTATGAATTATTTAAACCAATCAGCTGTCAATGAGGGGAACAATTATGGGGGTCAAATCCAAGGGGAAGGCAGGGTGGCATTTTTCAGCCTGCTTGGAGATTGTCAGATTAATTTTTACTTATTTATTTCTGACCTTACAGAAAATGTATTGCCACAAGGTCAAAACATTTCTCTCTACATATATAATTTTAGAACTTCAGAAATAGAGAGAAACTAGTTGAGTAGAGAACATAGATTTGGGCTGGCCTGCAGTTCTGCCTGTTCTGCCCTTTGGGCAAAGGACTTAAACACTGAATCTAAGAGTTTATCAATTTCCTCTTCAGAAAAAACAGCTATGGGAAGGACGACCCTGAGAGGGTGTTCCAGACATTAAACAAATTCCAAGTAAAGCCTATGGCAAAAAAGCTCGATTATTCAGCCGCTATGGTAACCATTATTTTCATACCAGCCCAGCAAGATTGTCATTATAAAGATAATAACTAAAACAGACCCCAACCAATGAACCAACTGGCCAGAAGATGCTAAGCCACAATCTATACTTTCATTGTATATCTACCTTTATTGAATATTTAACTTTATTTGTAATTGGCGTCATAATTTATCAGGTCAAAAGATGCGAGTGTGGAGCTCTGGGTTTCAAAAGAACTCTACTGGCTTTTCCCCCTTAATTCTCTTTCACATTTGCCCTTCACTCAACAGTCAGACGGAGTCCAGCGCAACACCCAGAGCCGGATATCGAATCTGGTATGCATGGATGTTTAATAATGTCTGCTGTCAATATTTTGAATGGGTGAAGTTTGTAAGGAGAATCATACAGTTAGACTGATGTTGTAGAGAAGCTGAGAGACAGAAGAAAAGGAAGACAAACACAGAGGAGGGGCTGTATCCTTGCATTCAAACCGTTTATAATCTGAGTATGGAAACGAAGCAATTACAAGGGCACACATGCATGCACAGACACACATTCACCATGCACATTGGTGTACACACAATTGCTGAGCAGCCAAATACCACAGCAGGTGATGGGCCTCTGTCTTCCAGGATGTGTGGGGCACGAAGGCTTCCACAGAGAAGGCAGCCACTCTGCCAGGGGGCTGTGATGGTTAATTTTAAGTGCCAATTTGACTGGGCTAAGGGCTGCCCAGACAGCCAGTAAAACATTGTTTCTGGGTGCATCTGTGAGGGCATTTCTGGAAGAGACAAGCATCTGAGCCAATAGGCAGAGTAAACAGGACCCGCCAGAACCAACACGTGTGCGCGCCATCCCGCCCACCAGGGTTCCCACAGAACAAAGGCACAGAGAAGGGCAGATTCCCTGTATAAACCGGGACCTTGCTTTCTCTGCCCTTGGACATGGGCTCTCCTGGTCCTTGAACCTTCGGACTCAAGCTGAGATTTACACCATTAGCAACTCTAGTTCTGGCACCTTTGAACCCAAACTGAGTAGCACCTTCGGCTCTTCTGGTTCCCCAACACGTGTCACGGGACTTAGAGCCCACATGATCACACGGGGCCAATTCCCATGATCGATCTGTTGCATCTCTCTCTGTCCAACTCACTGTGATTCTCTGGGAACTCGGCCTAATACAAGAAGCCAAGAGCCCAGGAAGAGAGCAAGGCCCCAGGGTGCACTGGACCTCTGGCCCATGCTGGGAACCCTCGGGCTGGCCAGGCCCCAGGCAGGCACTGGGAGTGGGCTGAGGGAGAGACAGGGGCCGAGAGCCCCAGAAGCAGTGAGGCTTGGGTCCTGCCCTCTAAGCTGGAGATGTGGGGAGATCTGAAGAGTCCTCATGGGTGAAGGCTCAGAACAGCGCCCCACATGAGGCGAGGAGGAGGAGGCGGCGCTGGCTGCTGGATGGTGGTTAATATTATTCCAGAGGAGCAGGAGCCCAGAAGTAACAGCGTGGATGAACTGTTTTAGGAAGCCAAGTCTAGCAAAGCAAAAAACCAAGATAATTACCAGATATTTAGGCCAGAAGAGAACTGATTAGCATAGCCCTGTGAGGCACACTTAACTGACACCCAGTGACCTAATTTCTCGAAGGAGAAACATGAACCCTTGCTTTGTGCCTCCTGCTCCGGAGGCAACATGAAGGCAGAATGGAGCGTCCCTCCTCCAGCTCACTGTCTCCTCAGATTCTCACCGGGGAAATAAGCAGCCTTTCAAGGTTCTCATGGACTCAATATGTCCCCATCACTAAGACATCTGCTTACTACATAACAGTAACAGGTCGAGTGCCCCTTCCAGCTGGCATGTTCTGTTTTTAATTATTATTTCTGAGGCGGGTTTTCGCTATGTTGCCCAGGCTGCCCTTGATCTCCCAAGCTCAAGCAATCCTCCTGCCTCAGCCTCCTGAGTAGCTGGGACAAGTGTATACCATGTGTCCAGATAATGTTCTCCTTTTTTGAAGGCCAAATCCATTCAGCAGCCACTGACTGAGGCACAGCGCTTAGCATGGGGCGGGACAGGGGGCATCACAAGAACTAAGGCCTGGGCTCTACCTCGAGGGGGCAGATGGGTCATGTAGGCTGCTCAGAGTATAAATGATGAGACGATGGAACCCAAATCCAACAAGGCAGCTCAATGATGGTACAAAGAAGAATTCAAGGGCCACCAAAGGGCTTGAAAAGTCCTCTTCGAGGCCTTCAGCATTTTAGCAAGATCCAGGGAGAAGGTTGGCCTTGCAGAGAAAGAAGTAATGGCAGGGCACAGAGGAGTAGCGGCCTCTGACCCTTCAGTTCATGGGCAGAGACGGAGAGAAGCAGGCACGATACAGAAAGAGATGAATAAGCAGTAACCTTCAGCGTCAGCCTTGGGAGTGTGGAGCCTCCACGTATGGGTTTTTTAGGGGAGGGGGAGGGTGCTTCCCCAATTTATTGCAGAAAATATAAAATGTATATGACATAAAGTTTACCACCTCAACCACTTTGCAGCCACCAGCAACACTGATGTGCAGAACTCTTAGTATCTTGTACAGCTACAACTCTGCACCCTACACACTAACACACTGTCCTCCCTCCCCCAGCCCCTGCCAGCCCAGGTGCTGCTTTCTATCTCTACGAGTTTGAATACTTGAGGTGCCTCTTAGGAATGGAATCTTACAGTATTTACGATCTCGCATCCTCGCAGTTCATTCATGGTGTCCCATGGGGTGGAATCTCCTTCCTTTTTTAAGGCTAATAGTCTGCTCCCTGGATAGACTGAATTTTACTTCTTTTTCCTTCCAGGGACACTTGGGTTACTACTGGGTTTTAGCAACTGTGAATAGCGCTGCTTTGAACATGGGTGTACAAATATCTCTTTGAGACCCTTTGCAGTTTGTTTGGATAGACACCCAGACATGAAGTTGCCGGACCATGAGGTGGTCCTATTTTTAATTGTTTCAGGAGCCGCTATACTGTTTTCCACACCAGCTGAACCATTTCTACTTCCCACCAGCAGTGCACGAGGCTCCAGCTTCTTCACTTCCTTACCAACATTTTTTTCCACCACTAGAGATTGAACCCAGGATCTTTGCTTCAAGCTACATTCCAAGCCCTTTTTATTTTTCTCATTTTGAGACAGAGTCTCTTATTAAGCTGCCCAGGCTAGGCTCAAACTTGCAGTCCTCCTGCCTCTGCTGCTCCGAGTGCTGAGATTACAGGTGTGAGTACCCCACCATGCCCGACTCTTCCTGTGCTCTTGACCATGGTCCTCCTAGTGGGTGTGAGGTGGAATCTCACTGTGGTTCGGCCTTGCGTTGCCTTCATAATGAGTGATATGGAACTTCCATCCGTGTGCTTCTTGGCTATTTGTATATCTTCCTTGGACATGTGTCTATCTGAGTCCTTGGCTTATTTTTGTAATGTTATCTTTTTACTTGCAGGATTTAGAATGGGGAGTAGAATGAGCAGATTTAAAGTAACAGTAGCAGGGCTGGGGATTTAGCTCAGTGGTGCCACCGCCTGCCTCGAGAGCACAAGGTCCTGAGTTTGATCCCCAGTACCAAAAAATAAAATAAAATAATAGTAGCAGCTTTTAGTAATCGAGCCCCTGCTGTGTGCCAGGCATTGTAATAAGAGCTTTGTGCTCCCTGGCCTCAACTCTCATGATAATCCTAGGAGTCTTCATGACTTCAGTCCTCACAGATGATGAAATGGATGCCCAGGATCTTCACTTGATCTTAGCCAAAAGGCCGAGAAGCGATTCCAGGATCTTAAGTAACCTGCTTGGAATCACAAAGCAGAGGGATGGGCAGGCGAGGTTTCAAAACCAGGCTCTTCTTTGCTAGGAAAACCCACCTAGCAGCAGGTGAGCCGTAGACATTGGCAGAGAAGACAGAGACTCAGAGAAGGAGGCATTGGAAATAAATCCAATGGGGCACCCAAGCCCTCACTACCACCCATCTCCACCAACCTTCCTCCCTTTTAACAAATCTCTTCCCATCAGCCTCTCTCCTGTCCTGGTGTCTCTCTGGCAGAATCCCTGCCCACACCAGCTCTCTCCAGGTGCCAGTCTGGGTGCCAGCCAGCCTTTTGAAGGGTCCCACCCTGCCCAGCCACCAGGCGCCCTCCCACCCCATCACAGCCTAGTTGTAAAATCAGGAATCGATTTCTTCTGGGTCTGTTCTCTTTACATTCCAGACTAAAACACATGCTTTTCTCCCTGGAAATTCCTATCTTAATTTGGCTTTCTTGTTCTATAAACACTAGGAGATGGTGCTTATGAGACAGAACTCTGTTTCATTACACTGAAGTCTAGCAAACATAATCGAATTAGGCGATGCCTTATTTGAGCACACTTCAGCCTTATTTGAGCACACACTTCCTGACTGCACTGTCCCTCTCAGCGAGGCTTTGCCAATCCACTCTGAGCAGCGAGCAGGAGGACAATGGGCCTCAAATCTAGGCTCCGATCCAGGTCCACATCCTAAGGTGCCTCCTGGATAAGCCAGCCACCCTGCATCTTGGGCCCCTGGGTATCCTAATTACATTGCACTGTAATGTGGCCTTCATGACAGGCCTGGCACCTGAAGAAGCACCAAGTGGGTGATGAGAAAACATTTTCGAATGAATGAATGAATGAATGAATGTCAGGGTAAGCATCTCCATTTGTCAGCCGGTAGGCCTGTGTGTGTGTGTGTGTGTGTGTGTGTGTGTGTGTGTGTGTGTATGTGTGTGACCCTGCCACTTCCTGGGCTTGTAGATCCTTACTGTAAAGCTTCTCAGCACAGTGAAACATACCTTGCAAGTCCTGGTGTCTTCATGACATCAGGTTTGCGTGACATCAAGTCCCAGCTTTTTCTGGCCACATTCATGCAGTGCCCTGCTGAGGGGAAGAGAGATAGGAAGAGCCCTCTAGCCAGGCAGGACGAGGAGAGCTGTGATGAATGCAGATGAAGGGGCTTCTGGCTGGATGTACTGTTGAAGAACTCAGGTGTGACCCCTCCTAGGCATGATTTCTGTTTGTCCCCAGCACCTCCAACAGCCTGCTTCCTTCAGAGCCTCTTTAGGGCATCGATGCCCTTGGTTAGAAACAGCCCCATGTGACCAAGGCCTGTGTCCTGAATTTCCCTGTCTTCCAGCCCCGTACAGATGGGAGCCGGGTTTGGGCTGCCTTGTTCTTGCCCAGGACACAGCAGGTCCCCATGATGTGGTCCTGCCAGACTCTGAACAGTACCAGGCAGTCATCTGAGGTGCCCAGGGATGCTGAGGACTGCGATCGAGGCAAGCTCTTTGGATGTCTGCCTCCCACAGCTTGAGGGAGAGGCCCCCTCGAGACACATTAATAAAGATTAAAGGTCTCTCTAGTCCCTGTGATCTTCTCCATGTCAAAGGGAAAGAGTCGCTTTTCTATCCTCCTCTCTGTCGTTTATTAATATTACAGGGTTTTGCTCTAAAAAGAAAAGGTGCAGTATGCTTGGAGAAGATGGGTATTCTGGTATTCTGAGAGCTCCAACTTCAGTATCACTTTGTCATTTCATTTCTTGCTTGTGAGAGCAGCAGTCACCAGAAATCCAGTTTCCTGAGATGGGGGGCAGGGATGGTCCTTTCCTCTAGGTGCCCCTTGGCAAAAATCAAAGACTACTCGGGAACCCCAAAGCAGTCTTGGTTTGTGGAGCACAGGATGGTCTAAGTTTCCAGACTCAGGGGGAGAGTCACTTCCTCATCTCCCCCATGCAGATACCAGAGCTGGCTACATCACCACTCGAGGGGAGGGCTGGCTCTGTCCCCACAGGGTGGATGCTCCAAAGGGGTGTGACTCTTAAGCCATCAGAGGAGGATGAGTACCTGGGATCCTTCACTGAGCTCCATCTTTTCTTTTTCAACCTCCAGCAACTATTGTTTGGATCTGTACAAGGCTCAGGGCCCTGGGGATACAGAGATAAAGTGTGCCAAGGTCCAGTAAAAGAGACAAGTAAAAAGAAATGCATTTGTAGGTGCCTTGTAGAGGGAAAAAAAAGCTTTGTGGTAGACCTTATCCGAGTTCAAATCCTGGCTCTTCCACCATGAGGTGGAGAAAATAACATCTACTTGGGAGAAGTACAGGGCAAAATGCAGGAAAGCATATGTGCAAAGGACCTAGCGCAATGCCTGGGGACAGTAGTCACAGCCCATTTATCCCACGTCACTGCCCCCCGGTGCCTGCTGGGTATAGGCATGCCCAGGAAGAGGCTTCCAGGAAGAGGAAGCACCTGAACCCTAAAGGACACACACAACTGAGTCAGGTAGAGTGGGGGTGACACATACTCCAGGCAGAGAAACACAGAGCCAGAGAGGCACAGATCAGCCTGGTGAGTTTGGAGAAATGTGTGCAATTCGGTCATGACTCAATGTGCCAGTGCGCATGGAAAGAGAGAAGGAAGGAAGCAATGAAAGAAGGGAGAGAGGCTGGGGATGTAGCTCAGTGAGGAGGCCCTAGGTTCAGTCCCCAGGACTGGGGGCTGGAAGTGGCAGTTAACAATCCCTGAAAATCTTGAAAATACTTTAATTACTCTTATTTTGATGGCTTTGGTCTTTTTTTTTTTTTTCTGGTACCGGGCATCAAACTTGGGTCCTTGCACTTGCGCAGCAGGCAGGCGAAACCACAGAGCTAAATCCCCGGCCCTGGCTTTGGTCTTGAAGTGGGATGAGATCTGCTAGGTAAATGTAGGGCTGGTGAACCTGTTGTTCAACAGACATCGTTAAGTGAATAACAAACAAGCCTGTGCGCAGAGCTAACAGGGGTCTGGCCCAGAGCTTAAGGCAATGAAGGAGGCAGATACAAATTGAAGGCAGTGATGCCAAGCTCCAGCCCTCTATAGTTACCCAGGGGAGAGCCCATGCTTTTTAGCAGAAGCAGCATTCTGTCCCTGCCCATCTCCATCCCCTGGGGGCCAAGGGCCGAAACACTGCTCACCTCCAATCCATCTGCATCCCAGCCCCATCAGGCCACCCCACCTTCAATCCCAGAGCCTCTGTCTTGCAACACATCCTGAACTGAGTGCCCCCACAGCTGGGAACCATCAGTGTCTGTGTTTTTTTCATTTGGCGACACACAGTGGAGCTGGTTGTTACACAAATAACTCTGCCTTCCACCGCGATGCCTTGGTCCTTCACAAAGCAGCTATCGGACGGGACATCAGAGATGGAAGAGGGGTCCGCTTACCATAGCAGCTGCCCTGGGGAGCACAATCTGCCCCCCCCATATACCCCAGGTCCTCCAAACAGACTTTGAAAATGCGCAGACAAGGCCATGGCACAAGAGAAGCTGAGTAGTTCACCCCATGATGCTCAGCTCCGTGCCCTCCCTCTTGGCCAGCTAAGCAGTGATGTTTCAGGCAAAAATGTGCTCTCAGGACCCCGCTCGAGGGCCTGGAGAGCCCTCATCAGGCCCCCATGGAGCCTGTCCCCCATGCTGCTTTCTGACCCTGGCAGACACAGATAAGAGACATAACCCATGTCTACTCTCAGACCATGCCCTGGGAGGAGCTGAGTTCTAGGTGGTTGATTCTGTAGTCACAGGGCTGGTGATGGTGGCATAATGGTGCCCAGTGGAGGCTTGAACTCAGGGGCCATTGAGGATCCCTGGCATCGTGGGCAGCAGCTGCTGACTGCCACTTCACACCAAACACACGCTGGGCACTTTAGTGCTGTCTCATTTAATCCTCAAATGATCTTGTGCTAGCATCACCTCTGTTTTCCAGAGGGGAAACTGAGGCCATGGAGAGTGAGTCATTTACCCCAGTCACAAGACTAGTAAGAATCAGGGAAGAGGCCAGGATGTAGAAAATTGCAATGAACTGGGAGTTGGGAGTCAAATGGGGCTGAGCTGCAGAAAATGTCCAGGTCGTTCCCACTTGGCCTCCAACCTCCATGTTTATTCACCCAGTTCTGGGCACCCACCATGGCACCTCGTGGGCCAGCACTGCCAAAGCCAGCTGGTTGGTGGCTCTTGTCCTGGCCCAGCCAGTCACCCATTCTGCTCTCTTCTCACCTGGGCAAGGGTGGAGGATCCAAGCTGTCAGAAAGAGGGAGGCCACTTCGCTGAAAGTAGCAACATCTTTGTTTGTGTGGGAACCCAGTGCCATGTGCTCAATTCTGCTTGAGTCACGTTGGCAAGGATTCCAGTAGCACCGTGGAATTTCCTTGTGATTTTCCAAGACAGAAAGTGAGAATGGGTTGGAATAAAACCAGCGATCTAAAGCATAGGAAGAAAAACAATGCTGAACTGTGACAGATGCCTGTGTGCCCTCTGTACAGGGGGCCGTGGTAGCAGGAGGGACGTGGCTGACAGCAGCCGTGGTCATGGTGCTGTCCACCAGTGATGGTTCCCGGGCAAGGGTGGGGGGATTTCTTGTTTGATTTGGGAGGGAATTCAACAGATATTTGCTAAGCAGCCCCTGCATTGTGCCAAGTGCTGTCATAAGCACTGGGGATAGGAGGTGACTCAGGCACATCCTTGCCCCGCTGGAGCTCACAGCTAGCAAGGGACAGTGACACAAAAACATGCAACTGCATGTAGGAAAGCCAGCCAGGTCTGTGCTGGAGGAAGGGGCTTCTCAGGTACCAAAAGCAGAGTCGTGACAGGAGCATCCCAGTCTGCTCCCGGAGGAGGCTGGGCTGTCAGACGAGCTAGGAGGTACCAGGCCACTGGGCCACTGTCCTCCCTACCACTCCAGTGGCAAGAGCCAAAGCCAGTGAGTCAGGCTCTTTGGGGGGATGCTTACTCAGGCAGGCCTGGGCAAGAGGAGGTGTGGAGGCCCCGGGGGTGAAAAGGGGGTGCAGAGTGGGGTGATCAAGGTGCTCCATCTGCCACTAGAGTCCAGCAGCTGGCATTGGCGCCCAGGGCTTTCAGATCCCAACTCAAAGCCGTCTCTGCTCATCAGCCTTCTACCTGCCCCTTGTCCCTCACTGTCTCACTGCTGTCACTTCTGTCCCACAGGCCCTGCTTCTTGGGCCCTACTCCCTCCCTGATTCAGGTAGGAAACACCTAAGCCAGCCGCTGTGCTGGTTCCCAGGAAGGAGACACACGGCTCACTAGCTGAGAGACCTTGGGCAGATTACTTTACCTCTCTAGGCCACAGTTTCCCCATTTGGAAGGTGGAGAGAGAAGCTGGCGGCCCCGAGATGAGGCATGCGTAGAGCACAGTGCTCACTGTAGGGACAGCCTCTGACCCATGCTAACAGCTCCGGCCCCCCCACCTCCTCTGTGAGAAATAATAGGATCCCAGGGGCTCTTCTTCCAGAAACGGGAATGATGGCATCCTTGAGGGCTATCTTGAAGGTGTGCCCATCTGCGAAACAAACGCCAACCAGGTAGTAAGTTCTCCTCGGGTCATCCCCTCTCATGCCCCACAGCCGTCCCCAAGTCTACCTCTAGGTGCCCGTCACTCCCTTCCCTTTGCAGCAAGGGCAGCACTTTCCCTTGCTACTAAGGTTCAATCTGCTCTGGCCTTGGGCTTGTCCAGGTTTGGAGCTCAGAGCTGTCTTCTTCCAAATAAAGGTTAGTGTGTTTTCCCTTTACCCTCGACCACGCTGAGGTTCGCAGGCCATTTTTCACTTACTCCTGTGGCTTTTCCAGGTCTTGTTTATGTTTGCTTCCTCATTTGTGCCATCTAGATTCCCAAAAACCCCTCGCAGCCCAAATTTGAACCAGTAGGTGCCGTGATAGCCGACAGCCTGCCCTTGAGTAGGACCCGTCTGCAGGCCCCTCCCCCAACACAAAATACATGGCCAGGTCCAGGCCCAGTGAGCCTCTCGAGAGCCTCGGGCACTCCACAGCCTGGAAGTGGATGAGGGGTTGAGAACTGTTTGTGCAAAGCCACAAAGGCTCCAGAACCACACCAGTTCTAACCAACTTCCCCAGGCCAGGAGCTTCTGGGCCAACTCCGCATTCCGGAACCAGAACCTCCACGCACTAGACAACAGCGGAGGAAACACACAAACCCACCATCTCCTTCTCCATCACTCCACTGTCCGGTTTTAGGCCAATCTTACTGTGCCCCA